AGCCACCTTCAAGAACAAGTGGATTGTGGCATCAACATGCCTTCCCTGAAAGCATACAGACGAGGCGGGAGCTGCCAGCCATTGCGAAGCAGAGAGCCCCAAAGGCTTCTTTAGGAGAGGATATTGAAGTTTTCATCCCCCAGTTAGAGCTGCAGCTCCTGTTATGACCATGGCATACCTCTGCCAGACACCAGCATGGGTACCCCATAATTGGATGTGTCCAAAGCCAGGTTGGATGGAGCCCTGGGCAGCCTGATCTGGTGGAGGACAGGCAGCCCACAGCAGAGGTGGGTTTAGGGGCCTTTGGGGTCCTTTCCAACCCAACCATATTGTGATTTTATGATAAGACAGGGAAAGATGTACCTTGAACTGAACAAAGATAACTTTCCAGCAATAACGCAGGAAATGAAGTCAGCTTGGTCAACCCAAGAAACGAGCTCTGGGAGCAACAAAGATCTCAACCCCAATTAGTCCGTCTGGGAAGGAAACACCTCAGAGCCATCTGAGCTGACTTGATGGTGGTAATTTCAGTGGAATGGGAGCAGGAGTGGAGAAAAAAAAAAAAAAAAAAGATGTCAGCAAGGACAGAAGGGAGAGATACAAATAGCACAGGAGATGGACAAGAAAAGCAAAGGCAAATACAAAGAAACAACCAGAGCTCTGTGAGGGAAAGGACAGCCCAGAAGCAGGTGGAAATTTTCTCAGTGCATGTGGAGATTTCATCAGAAACAATACAATTCACCAACTGGCATTTCAGTAGGAACTCAGGAAAATGAGAATTTAGATTTTCCCCCCATCCCATCAAAAATTGTTATTTTCTCTGTTTTGGCTTTTGAAAGTCAGAAATCAAAGGACCAACAAGGTTTTGAATGCTTTTCTTTTTTTTTCTTCTTCTTTCCTTCTTATCCTTGCCGTGAAATGAAACAGAATGAATGACACCTAGGAAGGATTAACCTTCTTCTCCCTTCCTACCTATTCTAACTTGCCAAGACTTTTCTTTTTTTAAACAAAATATAAAGAGTCTGTAAAAGGAAAAGCTAGCTTATGTTGCAAACTATGTTTGCGAAAAGTCAGGGAAGCTTTGAATGCAAGCACAGAATGGAGACAAAAGGCAGCAATATTACTAAAAATAAGTTTTAAGCTTCCCATTAAAAGAAGCCCTTCCCCTGCTCTATACAATGGAACCCCTGGCATTTTTTCTTTAAATCCTCTGCTGTGTTGTTTGTTATTTTTACTGATTTAATGTTGTTTCCTCTCCATGAAGTTGGGGATCATAACAGGGCACTGGGCAAGTCAGGCTTGGGATTTCCAGCTTTGGATCAAAAGCCAAAAGCTGCTCTCGAGCTCTTGGGTAGAACAGTAGAGAGAGAGGCCAGAGAGAGCATTAAAAAAAATAAACTGACACCTTTCACAGAACGAGAGGCATTTCTCTTTCCATCTGTCATCCCAATTCTCCCTACAGCACCAGAAGCAGGCCAGCACCTGAGCATATTCTGCAGATCCTCCTGTGATTTGCAAACTCTACCTGTGATGAGAGAAACCAGCAGCACGTTATTGTGCATCCCCTGCTCTCAGCGAGCAAACCGGCTGCCTGGCCCCGCTTTCTGTCATTAGAGACAGGACTAGTTAAGAATTCATGCCCACTGCCAACGCTGCATTTTTGGAGAGGTCCTGCACTCAGGCAGAACTAATGAGCAGGCAAAGCAAGAGAACGGCAGCTAAAGCAGAAAACACACGCACAAATATCTCCGAAATGAGAATGCAGGCTTATCTGAAGGTCTTCTCCCCTCCAAGGTTCTGCAGAAGCAGCGCATAATGAAGCGTTTGCCCAGGGGAAGGGATGGCTGTCATACCTGTTACATGGATGGGAGACTCAGGGAGGAGAGGCTGACTCCGGCCAGGCACCGGAGGGCTGAGTTAGAATGGGGACTGGAAGTGAAAAGACCGAGCTTGACATATTCATTCAGCTGAGGAGATCACCAGGTGAAGGCCTAGATGGGACTGAAGGCTGTGAATTCTCAGCTGTAAAAATAGGCCAGATAATGCTTGTCTGTTGAGGATTTATCCTTCTGTACTTGCAAAATACTTTGCAGCCATTGGACAAAGGATTCCATCAAAATGCAGCCAGAGGCTGGACAAGATAACTTCCCCCTCTTCCAGCTATTGTAAAAAAAATCCTGCCGGCTTCTGCAAGCAGAAGGCAGTGCTTCATCCTGTATTTCTGCGTGTGAGAGCATCCTGCAGAGTGTGCGCTTACCGCTAATAAGAGCCCTAAGTGCAGCGGGAGAGCAGGGAACTTAATCACATATACGAACAGGGCATGCAGAGAGAGGGCTCTCAGAGGGGCGGGCTCCCTGTGTGCCTGTGGAACAGTTTGCATAAGGAAGGATGCTGTTCTGTGTGTATGTTCTCATGTACAACTCCACCAAATTGTGGCTGCTGGTAGAATCGTAACGAAAGCATTTCTCACCCACATCTGTTTACATTGTAAGCCATAATGTTACAGCAGCATTTATTCCCTCTTCTTTTCCCTCTCTCCTCCCTGCCTGCTTTTTCCCCAAGCATCCCATTTTTCAAGCCTATCACCCTGAAAATGATGAAAATCTCCCATTGGTTTCAATTGGTATTTGTTTAAGGGCGCGATAGCCAAAAGAAAAACTGAATGATCCTTCATTGAAGGGGACAGATGGGGCCAACTGCTGCATATCAGCATGGGCTCGTGGGGCTCCTCAGGGGATGCCCATGCTCAGCCCTCCACAACCAAGTTGAAAAAGACCTATAAGATCATCAAATCCAACTCCAGCTCACCCCCACCATGCCCACATCCCTCAGTGCCACACCTCCATAGTTGCTGAACACCTCCGAGGATGGTGACCCCACCACCTCCCTGGGCAGCTGTGCCACTGCATCACCACTCTTCTGGGTAAGAAATTCTTCTAACAGCCAACCTGAACCTCCTGTAACACAGCTCGAGGCCATTCCCTCCCACCCTATCACTGTTATCTGGGAGCAGAGGCCAATCCCCATTTCACCACAGCCTGCTCTCAGGCCGTTGGAGAGAGTGATGAGGTCTCTCCTGAGTTCTGAGATGGGAAAAGAGGAACATCAGAGCCCAAATCAACCAGGATTTACAGTTGTAGGGTTCGGGGCCTGGATCAACCAAGCCTCTGGGCAGGAATGAGAAGACCAGGCATAAACATAGCCAAAACAGCTGAAGGGTCTTTTTTCCACGTTTTACCTGGTTAGGGACACACGGCAGGAGATAGGCTCGGGAAGCCACAACTATCAGCCTACAGCACTAATCAGTGGGATACACGTGCCCCACAGAGAAGGTCGGGTCTGTAGTTCAGGCCAACCCGCAAAAGGATCCAAACAAGAGGAAGATATCTGGTCAGCATATCTCTTGATTACATGAGGAGTATATAGATATAAATTCACAAATCTTGCTCCAGTTGGTGCGGGAAGATGTTACAGCCGTCAGGCCTGATTTACCCTGACACTGACTGACTGACGACAGCCATACATCCTCTCCACCAAGCACCACCTCCTCCGCTGCCACACAGCCATGGACGGTGGGGAGGGGGGAGCTGGGAGACACATCAAGCCCAATAACTTCTTCCTTCACCCGCCTCCGAGAGGAGACAGGCAGCTTTTGTTCAGGCTGCTCGCGCTGCTGTGTGAGCGCGTTTTAAACAAGGCCGAGCGCCATCTCTTTTGCTTTGCAGCTGTCTGTGTTCATTTTTAGTGATGTGAGAACCCGGAGCACACACGTTGGGCTCAATCTGAACGCTGTCAGCTGTCTTACAGCTCAATTTCATCGGGGTGATTAGCTCCAAAAGGAGAAAGGGAAAAATTAAACACCGAGTGATCCTTGTGCATAACTTCCCAGCACAAAAGGCCGTAAGTAGAGTGCGCTCTGGATGGAATAGCAATAGAAGGTCCCTCCAGGAGGGAAGGAGAAGGGGTGGATGAAAGGAGAGAGGGAAAGATCTAACGGTTGAAGCGGATGCAATCTGGGATACGGTTCTGGCAGATCTCCAGTGGCCGCAGCAGCTCCTGCAGGATGGAGGCTTCCTTTTAAAAATATTAATGGGCTGGGTTGCAGAGCTGCCTGGCTCCTGAGTCTCCCACAGAAACGACTCCTCAAATATCATTAGCAGTGTGCGTGTGTGCTGCTGCTGCTGAGAAAGCCTTCCAAACATGACCTGTGGCCGTGCAAACCGACTGCAGTGATACCTAAATGAGATGGAAAGGATCCACCTCCCCCTGCCCATTGGGTGCGTGCTGTGGCACCATTGCATCCTTCAGTTCTGCCCAGTGACCCTCTGGGATCTGCCTTCCCCACCAGCCTGCTCCCACTTCACATCCACATTGCCCTTCCGGACAGCACAGCAGCCCACGGTGATGAATTATACGTGTAATTATGCACTTCAGGAAAATGTGCTTCCCTTCGTTTGCTCTGAACCTTCTGCTTAATGAGTTCACCAGGTAACCCTCTTGATTCATGGCAAACAACCGTCCGTGCCACCTCTTCTGTTCCACTCTGGACTGCGTGATGCCTTGATCATATCCTCTCCTAGCTGCCTCTTTTCTAAATTGACACATCCCAATCTGCTTAATCTCTCCTCACTCAGAAGTACCCCCCTATACCTTTGATCACAATCTCTACCTTTTTTGATGTTTCCTATATCCTTCCAGAAAGGATAATCGCCACTCCGGCGGTGGCAATTTTAGAGAGAGAACTTCATTTTCTCTCTCCTGGGAGCACTTATTACCTCTGGCTTTGACTACTGCTGAACACGTGAGATATGAGGACCCCACACCAGTGCTAGCAGAGAACTGTCCCTGTGTGCATGGTCACTCCTTGCAACAGCCATCCCAGATACCGCAGGATCACCGACATTTTTCATCTTGTACTTCTAGGAGGTTGCTGCAAGGATACTTTGTCAAATTACTGGAGGGACCAACAAGACATATTCTGGAGCTTCCGGCTACTTGTATTTATTAGCAGAACCACTGCAGAGTTTATATCTTATCTACAAAAACAAACCTAGAAACCTCTCCGTCCCAAGGGGGGAAACGCCATTTGCGCAGTACAATACAGTACAATGCAGCAGCCACACTGGCACTCCAAGCTCCCTTGCAATCTCCCAGCGAAGAAAAAGTTCCAAAAATGTGTGTTGTGCGATAAACAAAAGCAGCCCTGCTGGAACGTTTGTGATATGGAAGCCTGTAGTTATTTATAAACTCTTTTTTCCAATAGTCGGTGGCTTCATAAACCAGAGCAGATCAATACAGCTGAAAAGTTAGAGGCAGATCAGAGGGAATTAGGTGACACTGGTGGATGCATCTTTAGAAATTTAAAGAGAGAAGCTGATCAAAATGTATAGGTCAAAAAAAAAAGCCCCTTTTTTTTTTTTTTTTTTTGGCAAACAAGTATTTTCTTCATTTCCAAATAATTTTCTTGGAAATTGGACATGGAAAAATGCCTATTTTACTCTTTATTCTCAGCCCCCTTAATTCAAGCAGTATTTGATCTTTCTCGCTGAAAAATCCCATGTAATAGAAATCAAACATTGCATGCTTTTGGCAGGGGGGTGAGGAGAAAAAGAGAAGTCTGACATGACTTATTGTATCCTGAGCCTTATTTCAGCTATTTTATTTCTTTTTCTACTCAAACCCAGCCACTGCTTGACTTCTAAGTTGCTCAAGAAAGAGAAGAAAAAACACTCTTCTCCCAGTGGAAGCGCTACAGCCTGTGGATGGACACGTGGTTATTGTTCATGTGTGAAAAACTTACGGGCTCCAGGCTCCTGCCACAGAACGAAGATCACCCCCAGCCATTGAAATGTGAGCACAGTCTCCGGATTTTCATTCTGCGAGGCCAGAAACCAGATCCAAGCCTTCAAGATGCCTCCAAGCCGCTTCCTCGGGCTGTCTGCAATCCAAATCAAATCACATCTGACTTGGAGCCAAGTCCAGAAAACCTGATTGTCTTTCTCCCCCTATCCAATGGGAGATGGCAGGTTGAGGAGAAAAAGAAAGGAGGAGTGAAAAATTAACACGAGCACTTAAGATGTTATGAAACTGCAATATGCATCTCTAGCATGCCCCCTGGCCCTGATGCCTATACATTATTTAACAGAAAAGAAAGCATAAATGAGCCAGAACAATAGCTTGAGGGAAGGAAAGGAATATCTATATATATTTTTTTAATTCTTTAGACCATGCCCATTCGTTTTGTTTCTTATTTAGGATACTGCATTAATCATGCTAATATTTTACAGCCGGGCTGTACACTTTAGCCATTACTTTAATCAAACCCATCAGCGTACCCAAGAACACGCTACCAGGTGGGAATAGCTGCTACCGCTTGCTGTTAATTACTTTGCATTTTACAGCAATCAGCAGCAGGGGCTGAGATCATAATAAATTCATGACTTATGGGTCCATAAAATCATTACCGTAGGAAAATATGTTTTATCAGGCATTCGTCGGGCTGCTGCTCAGAGAGAGATTTCTTGAAGGAAATGACACCCATGAAATTAAACCGATCCTTGCAGTCAGCAGAAATGCTAATGTGGGCACAAACAGAGCCACGGTGCGCACGGAGCTGCGGGAGCAGAGGGAGAGGAACGTGGAGAAACGCTTGGGGGGAGATGGGAGCAGCTGTCCCCTCCAGGGCAGGGGATGGGGCATGTGATGCAAGGATGCTGTAGAGGCTCAGGACAGGGAGGGAAGCAGCAGTGTGGCAGGAGGGAGTTTTGGAGGAGCAGGAGTTGGTAAAGGGAGGTGTTTGCAGCTTGCACCTTCCCACGTTCCCAGCTTCATGGTGCACTTTGCAGCATACAGCTGGGACAGGGCACACTGGCTAGTCCCTGCCTCTGAGAGCAAGAGAATGAAGCCAGGTCTCAGCAGGGACAGGCAGAGCACTGACAGCTCCCAGCCCTGAGAAGCATTGCTCTATGAGATGACCAACGCATATGGGCATATAGGGAAAAGTTCCTCACACCCTCTGCTGGGAGGAATCTTTCCAGCTAAAGATGCATTGATTAGTTAACATGTAGAAGCTTAAGCAGCCCAGGCTATGCTCACACTCCAGTGGCAATTTTCCAGAAGGAAACACACCACACTCATGACTAATCATAGCATCTCCTCGCTGGCACAACACTACACCTGTGTTTCCACACAGAGGTAACATCAGCTCAGCCTGAGCTTCCTACTCCCTAATAGGGCCATCTGAATGTAGCAGCTTTAATTCGATTGCCCAAATCCCCATGCAGATTACGTGAGACGTTGCAGATGGGACCAGTGTGGGACCGAACGCTGCAATGCCATCACAGTAAAATCAAGAGCAACGGTGAAATCAAGCAGTGTCAAATTGACATAAAGCAGCAATAAAGGAGCTTCAAGATTTGAGAAGCAAGAAAGGAGCCTAAATGAACTTGCTGCATATTTCCTAAGCCTTTTCTGCACTCACATACTGTCCCAAGGCACTTCCAGAGTCATTAGCTCTGCCAGCTCCTAAAAAACAAACCAGAAAAAAAAAAACACAGTAAGTTTCCTTTTCTTTTTTTCCCATTTTATTTCAAGTCTAAGACCAACAGAGTTTTCATTGGCAAGAAGCCACCAGCTCTTTAAAGCTCCTGTGTTTCTTGGCCTGTGAAAATGAAGAAGTGGAATTCCAGCTAGAAAATACCTCTGAAGTGCTAAATTGGCCAAGCCCTTGTTTTTTACTGTTTGTTTCAGTTTGAAAATACTAAGGAAGCACAGTCATCGCTGGTTTGTTTGGTTTATTCACCTCTTCCAATTACACTGTGCAAACAGGGAGTATTATTTAGTGCTATTTAAGCATGAAATTATAACAGATCATTTTAAATATCAAGGTCCTAAAAATAAATCTTTGTATCGAGGCACAGCGGGTCTAGACCTACTAGCTTGTTAGCATCCACTGGGGTGGGCAGATGGCAGGAACACTGCTTCAGAGGGCTCTCAGCGGATGGGATTTGTTACTTTCCATCGCAGGGATCATGAGAACTTGCACAGGGCCACCCCTGGGGTCAGCACCTCTAGTTAAAGCCCCCTCAAGTGGGAGAAGTGATCTCACTGCGTCATTTCCCCCCAGCACTCCCCAGATTTTAGAAGGGTAACATACCAACCATAGTGTTTTTCCCAAAAGTGCCATGCTTCAGCCCAGCCTCCTCCACCCTCCAGGACCTCAGCCAAATTACCTGGGCTGGGAACCCCCTTGTGCCCCAAACTCAGACCCCATCTTCTCTCCTCCTGTAGCACGTTCCACATGGGCTGTTACCATTGGGTCCATAAGTAACTTTATCTGACAGGTATAGCAGCCTGGAGACTTCCCCATTACAGCCTTACCCGGCTATAAATATCCTCCTCCTCTTCAGGGAAAGAGCATCTGACCCAAAGTGTATGAAGCTTCCTGACAGGCTAGGAAAAGAAGAGAAAAGGTTTAAATGTCAGCTAAAACAATCTTCATTTTCTTTCCTAAATTTGCAAAGCTCCCCAAGTCACTGGAGTGAGGCATTTGCCTGTTTGAAGTTCAGCCTGAAAATCCTATTGCAAAATATTTGCTGAAACACAATAATGTCGGAATTGGAGGGGATTAAAGCTGCTTCTGTCCTTGCCCCATCCCCCCAAAACCCTTCTTTAAGAGGGTTTTGGTATAGACTTATGTCCCCATGTCTCGAAGGCGCAACACAAAAGAGAGAGGGAAAGAAATAAAAACGTAAAGCTCCTAACATCACTATTATTGAAATGCCGCGCTTGACATTTTGACTGTTTCAATTAGCTAACAAGGAATGCTCCACTTAATCCATCCTCGGATGCCAAAGGAAGCTAAGCTGCTCCCTTCCCCCACCAGCATCCCTCACCCACATATAGCAGCCGGGTGCTCCGGCCCCATGCAGCCAAAGCTTAGGTCCTGGAATCATTAAGGGTGGAAAAGATCTCTCAGTATTATCCACATCCAGTCCAACCATCCACCTACTACTACCAATATTGCCCACTAAACCATGTCTCTAAGTACCATATCTATACATTTCTTGACGCCTACGGCTTGCCCAGTCTCACAGGCACTGAGGAGAACCACTCTCCCAACCCTCATGCCCTCAGGCACAGCAGCATGCCAAGAAGCTTGCCAACAGGCATCCTGAAAAGCCTGCAAACACAGCTTTCTTATACCACTTCAGAAAACACAGCAGCACCGTGGCACTTCCAGACCAGCAAAGAGCCAGTCCCTCATTAGCAGTAATCAACAAGGATCCTTTCTGGGTTGAACTGCAGCAAGCTGAAAAATTACCTGCAGTGATGTGGGAGCCACAAGGGAGGACTAAACACAGCACAAAGGTTCCCCATCTCCCGCACGCGGTCCTGGGTTAATTTCATCAGTTTCCTTTTATTTCTCCAGGATTTACCTGCCACTCTGATTTTACACCAAGGAACCTGAAGTGCTCAGAGCTCTCCTCCACAAAGCATTTCTCTGTGCCCCACGGGCAGCTGTTCTGTGCCACAGGGTGGAGGGAACTTTGTGGGCACCGCAGCACATAAGGGTCGTTCCAGGGAAACACTCCACACTCCATAAAATCTGGGTGATCACCTTCAGCCAAGGAGCTTGTGGTGGATTGATTACTGCACAGGGAGCACTTTGCTTACTGCGGGCACAAAAGCAATTTACTAGTTCTTCCACAGCCAGATTTCCACCAACAGCTCGCAGGGCAACATGATGAGCATTTTCTACCAAGCATGAGGTACAAGAAGGCAGAAGGAAGGAATGGTGCACATGAGGTCATGCAGAAGGGCCCTCACCTGAAGGACTGGGCCCTGGAGGCAGCAGGCTCCTACAGAGCTCACCTGAGAATATCATTCATCATTTGCACATATATGAAGGGCTGAGAACAAGAGGTTCAGGTGTGGAGAACCATCAGGGATTGTTTCTGCTCTAACTTGAAGGACTTGAAAGCCCAGAATTGAATACTTGAAGGTGGTCAGAGTGGAAGGAGCTGCCATCCATTTAACCAGAGCAGGTAACAATCTTAAGTTGTGCCAGGGGAGGATCAGGTTGGGTAGTAGGAAAAAGGATTTCCTCAGAAAGAGTGCTCAAGCATTGGAATGGGCTGCCCAGGCAGGTGGTGGAGTCACCATCTCTGGAGGCACTCAAGAACCGTGGAGATATGGCACTGTGGTGGTCAGTGGGCATGGTGAGGGTGGGCTGGGTTTGGACTTGGTGATTTTAGAGGGCTTTTCCAGCTTAATGACTATGATTCTAAGGTGGAAGCAAGGCATCACTCACACACTTGTGAAAGTTCTATTTTTTCTGTCAGAAGACCAACCTTTCTCCCTTCCTGCCCATATAGAAGTCCTTGCACAAGTGATACAATGGATCACATCCATTTTATACAGACAGCGACCTCAATCTGCTTAACCTGTTCCAGCCAAGATGAGTATGCTTCATAGGGATAGAGCATAACCATGCTCACGTGGAATAGCCTTTTTTTTTTTTGCTACTTCAAAAATTGCCTTATGGCAATAACCCCTGCTTGCCACAGATGTAACTTGCTCTGAGCATGAAAATAAAAACCTATGCAAGCACCTCCAGGATCCCCCTTCCCAGTACAGCCTTCCCCTAGCACAAAGCCAGCTGCTGCTGCAAGATCTGTGCCAGATGCCCCTGGCACCAGCGCTCTTCAACACAAAGTTAACTTCCATCACGTGGCTCCTCGCAGCAAAACACTTCTGCCGTAGTTCAGGAAAACATTCGCATGCCAGGCAGCACTTAACTGAGCATGAGCGTGTGCCAGGAGAACAAACAGCTTACCGAGGTGCAGGAAGGCTTTGCAGGAAACTGACCCTAATCCTCTTCTGAAATATCTTGGCTACCGCTGAGCTCTCAGCCCCATCAAAAGGCACACGGACTGTCATAAATAAGACCAGCAAGAAACCCCATGACCCTGCATCCAGCTTCTGAGCAGAGCTGGAGTCACATCACTAATCACTTCAGCTCAGCTTTGCCTTAAAGCAGGCACAGGGCTTCCTGGCTTCACGACCAGAGGTGGGATCAGAAGCTTTCTGCTCACAAAGGAGACTTCTGTTTGCTGCCAGTCTCCCAGGAAGGGCGTCCAGGCTGGATTTCACCAAGTTAGATAGTGACAGTGCTAACGTACCCCACCAGCCTGGCAGAAACACCTCACTGGGTCTTCCTACAATTCTATTTGCTCTAACATGGGCAGTATCTCATTGTTCTGGTGCCTCATGACCCCAAGATGGGTTATCCCTCCAGGACATTCTCACTCCCTCAGCACAGTGAGGCTGATACAGCCCCATCTGGGCACTGGGAAAACCCAGAACATCAGGGACATGAGCATCTCCCATCTCCTTCCAGAATAGACAGCACCAAGTCTGTGTAGACAGAGTTGACTCACTTCATTTGTGCTCCTTCCACATCCCCACAGAATGGCAGGAGGAAGTGTGGAAAACCTTAATGCCTCAGGCAGGCATCTGAAATCCCAGCAAACAGAGCTGTCCCTTCGTGAATAAAGAACCACTGCACGTGCAGAAGGGAGCACAGAGGTAAATGCCTCCCTCCCAGGCACTTACCAAGATGATCCACAAGCACAAATACCTGGCATGTCCCATCCAGAGGCACCTCTATTAATCACAGTCCTCTGCAGTTAAAGTTATTTAATTCAGAGGTAAGAGAAGCTGCTCTGCTTTTTATGTCCAAGGGTTAAACTTGCCCCAGCCGCACACTAAACACATTTTTTACAATCTGGCAGTGATCTTGCCTATTAAGCATCTCTGGCTTCAGAGAAGAGGTATTGATTTATTTCACTTTTATGGCTGGAGGTATTTATTCCTATTTGCTTTCTCACTTCTTCACCCCAGCCTGGGTGAGGGGGGATGAGGAGGAGAAAAAAAAATTACAACAGCGGTGCAGCCAAGAGGTGATGACTCACAGTCTTCTGATGGAGGGCACAAGGATGGGATGAGAGGTTGGGACCAGCTCCTGGGCTCTGCCAGGCTGTGTCACAGCTTTTATTTCCATGATAGAAAGAGGCACCTGTGTGGCTGGAAGAAAAGGAAATCACATCAAACTTCGGAGGGAAGGCTCCTATCAAAGCTGTGTCCCTATAGGGTGCTTTGTAAGTTAGAGCTTGATTGATTTGTACCAGCTAAGAACCTCAGCTAAATCTCTCCTGTGGGAGGAACATCAACATTTTCCTATATCAGAAAACCAATCTGGAAAGGAAGATAACACCATATTGCCACAAGGAATGCGCCTGGACAAATATCCCCCTCCCACCCCACCACACACCCATTTCCAGGCAAGACACATGGGCAGAGCCCCCGCTTCAGTTTCTAACACTGTATTCCAGTGCTGCTCTTCTGGGAAGGTGGTTGTTCTGCAATGCCAGCGCAAGTGCGGGGTTTGCTTTTGCTCTGTCTTTGCACACTGAAGCTCAATGCCTGAGAACGCTCCAGCTGTCAGGTATCTGCCTGGGGTTGGCCATGCTTCTCTTGGCCTTTCTTCCCATGGCATCTGCCTAGCTCCAAGCACAGGCACAAACACAAAGCAAGCTTCATTCTCTGTCTCATCCCAGCTTGTTTGGCCTCCTAGCCTTGGGCTGGCTTCTCAGAAATGCCCAAAAGTCAATAGAAGATACTAAACGTGCCCATTTGCAGCACCATCCAGTGTCAATGTGACCCCATAAGCTCTACTGGAGGAACATCTCACAATACAGAACGAGCCTTCTTCCCCCTCGCACACCCACCCTTGCAAGTCTACGTTGGCAGCAGGCGAGTTTACAGACAGGTTTCCCTCTGCTCCAGCACGCATATAGCATGTGTGCAACACACAAACCCAGCCTTCAGGGACCACCTTAGGATTCAGGGAAACATCTGGCATCCGGGTGTCTGAAATCCCACAGCACAGAGCATAGAGACAGAAAGCCAACAAGGACCTAGTGGAGGCATTCCGGTGTTGGGAGTGCTATGGGGGGGGGGGGGAAAGAATGGGGATCTGAGCAAGGAGAGACAGCATAGCTCTGATGCAAAAGGGTGAGCTGGAGAGGGTGTGAGGGAGGTGGGACATGCACTGGGAGCAGTGGGGTGAGAGGGGCTGGGGGCTGAGCATCACAATTCCAGCCCCCGCCCTGCCTGTTTGCTTCAAAGCAGAGCCTGCATTTCTGTTCTTCGAACAGCACACAGACAACATGCAAATACCACAAGAATGAAAGCAGTGGGCAGGCTGGTGGCAGATAGCACGGGAGCTGCCACTGCGCACAGCCGCTTCACGCTTCATTAGTATCCTCTCACCAAGCTGCGAGCACAGCCTTCAGCCTGCCTTCACACAGGCAGGGAAGGAGGGGAAGGATGCACATTTTCCATACAGAGCTGATCTCCTTCCTTCCCAAACTCTGCCACCCCCCTCCGAGCCTTTCTTGGGCTCAAAGGTGCACCATCCTGCTCCAACGTCTCCCGCACTTGTTAAATATACCTTCAGGCAAGCATCAGGAGCGAGCCCAGTTTGAAACTTATTGTGTTGTCAAGATGACAAGTGCTCTGCCAGGCTGTTAGTCTCTGCTGCCCTTCCCCTGTCTGCTCCCCCTCCCTTTCTGCTCATTAGAAGCTCCCTTGATAAGGCAAGGCTGTTCCTTTTTTTTTTTTTTTTTAATCATTTAAATGTTTTCTTAACTTCAAAACATCAACAGCTGCAGGACTGAAAGAAGAATAGCAATGACGCTTTCCATTCAATATGGACTCGGTGCACTGTGATGCAGGAAGGCAGGGAGCTGGAGTTCCAGCACATGGTGCTAACATGGCACTAAGCACCACTTCAGCTCCCAACAATCCACATAACAGCCCCAGGTGGGCGAGCTGCTGTCTGCTCACCCCAGCCAGCAAGCCTGGAAAGAGAACATAATTCTGCCAGGGCAGCTTGCCCTTTAGGTGTCATAGAATCATTAAGGTTGGAAGACAGCCCCCCAAGATCACCAAATGCAACCTCAACCCACCCTCACCATGCCCACATCTCTCAGTGCCACATCTCTATGATTCTGTAACACCTCCAGAGATGGTGACTCCACCACCTTCCTGGGCAGCCCATTCCAATAATCTCACCATTCTTTCAGAGAAAAAATGATTCCTAATATCCAACCCAAACCTCCCCTGGCACAACTTAACACCATCACCTCTCATCTTTGTCCCCACACAGCTCTCCCATGCTCACCTCCAACTGGGTTTCTGCTCTTGGTTACAGGTTCTTTTAAGGACATCAGCTAAGGATGGATTTAACTGGCTTTGAGGAGCACAGAGCCAACTCTTGCAAACAAGCCGGCGCACTGACCCTTCCTATGGGCCTTCCCCATTGCATCCTCCTGCGTAAGTTCCTCAAGGCAATAAAATAACAACTTCTTGCTTCATTACATGTGTTGGAAAGCATCTTGACTAGCAGCCCAAGCCCCTGAAAGAGTTGGCTTTAAGCCTTGGCCAAACTGCCGAATCAAAACAGCTTGTGAGAGATGAATTAAGCATTCTCCTCTTTGCCCGGAAACAAAAGCCTGGGGGGGAGCAATGGAAGCCATCTGAAACAGAAGGGACACACAGGACTGTCAGATATGCCTCTCGCCACCATTTAGCCTTCCTGTCAAGCTGTACTCCAGACTGAAAGCTTTCATTTTTTACTTCTACCCCTGCTTCCTTAGAAAAAGATGCCTACGCAGAGGCACAACAAGAAGGACAAGCTCTGAACAGCAGGAGAGAGGTGAAAAGGAAGGATGGATCCATGGATCCTTCCCCCATGTTCAATGCCCATGTCCCCAGACACAGCATGTGCCCCATTGGGAACAGGAAGGGACTGGAAGTGGGCAGCCTCCTGTCCTTCAGGCACACAGCAGCCAACCCAACTCACACCTGTCCACATCCACACTGGGTTCTTTCTGACCCATGCTTCACCCCCACAAGGTAAACCAACCATCAATTCTGATACCTAGGGGCTGGAATGGAAAACACCATGCAGCTCTCATTGCCACGGCAGCATCAGCAGCACCCGGAGCATCTCAGACAGACAGACAGACAGGCAGGCAGAGGTGTGCTGCTCTCTCTCTCTGTCCAGCAGATCTGGAGCAGTGCCTGCCTGCTGTACTCCAGCTCTCTCTGTCCCGATGCAGATAAATTTAGTTTTCTGCTCTCGCTGCCTGGGGAAGAGTAGGGAGGGGGAGCTGACATCTTTCAAACGAGACCTTAAAAATAAGCTGTCTGCACAGCTGGGCACTGAAGAATCTCAAGCAGAGCTTTGTCTGGCTAAAACAGCGCCCATACCAGGTTACACCCTGTAACCCACCCAGAAACAGCTGCACAACAAGCCTTGCTCACAGCCCGACCATCATCTCGCTGTGTCAGGGTGTTCAGGGGGTGCCATCACGCTGCGCACACACACACACTGACAGCTCCTGCTTTGTTTCTGCAGGTCTTCCCAGAGATCTGGAGGACGAGAGGCCAGCGGTGTGGAGCAGACCATTTCCAAAGCCGTGCCCCAGGCCAGAACCACAGCCCGGATCTGTTTTCCATAGCCGTGACCCATTCTAACCGATTCCCAACCAGCAAGACTCTACTTTCCCCGCGGCTGAAAGCTCCTCTGTGAGAGCATTAAGCATTTGATAAAGAAAATAACAGGATGAATAAAACCATGTGTTTGTACAAGAAAGCTTTTGCTCTGATCTTTGGTGCTGCGCTATGTTCTGACCTACTATTGCAAGACTCAGCTACATCTTCCCTCCCTCTGAATGTGACAGAAGGAAAAAGCAGCCGCGACGGATGCTGCAGAGCCCTGCGCTGGGATTCCAGCTGACAAACAGCATCAGCAGAGCTGCCCACACACTTGGATTAAAACCCACACCCTCCACTCTCCCATCACCTGCAGGAAGCACATGCACACATATACACACACATCCATCTGTATGGGGCTCGATTCCTGCTTGGACACGCAGTGTAACAGCAGCAGCCTCCAACAGGTTTGCACACGAGGAGAAGCACACCCACGAGACACACTCCCTAATGAGGGCTGACATTTGCCAGCTACCAGAGATCCGAAACTGCCGGGAATCAAACTTTGAGGCAGAACTGTCCCTGCTTGCTGGCAGGAGGGTGGAGGCTCCAAGGCTCCAGGCAGTCTCGGTGGCAAAGGCTCGGCGTCAATGAGGAGCCAAGCTGGTTTTGTGAGCACATCTGCTCCTGTGCAGCATCCAAGGGAAGTTTCAGTGACTCCAAGTGGCCTTCGTGCAGCCTCTCCAGGCTTTCTGGCCACCACACAGCCCTGCTGGCTTACCAGCTCCATGCTGATATATAGGGAAGAGGGCCACTTAGCACCTCTATCAGAGAGGTACAGAGCAGTGGAGGCCCCCCAAAAGCACCAACAAACTACTGGGAGCTCAAAGGTTTGCTCCAGACAGCTCCAGTGCCAGCTTCTCTTCAGCACAGCCCTGAGCCACACACAAACAGCACATTTTGCTCCTGCTGGACATGCCTCTGCTGATTTACTAGTGCTGCCAAGGAAGGTGGATTTATTCCCAAATTTAACAGCTGCCAAATCAATGGGAAGAGCATTCACATGGGGATTCACCACAAGCTTTTGTGAAGCCAGGGCAGGATTCTCACACTGAAGAGCCCTTCCCTGGAAATGCACTCAGCCCTAACCCATCCCATCACAGCTCGGCTTGCTAACCAGGTACCTGCCCAAACCCTACAGAGATCCTGCTCAGAGCTGGTCACCCACCTGTCCCAGCTGACTCAGTGACAGAAGATAAGCAGCGGATGAGGAAAAGAGGTCAGGATTCCAAATTCTTCTTTCAAGCTCCCACCCTGACTTGGCATGCATGGCACATTGCAGTGGGTTTCTTTTCCAGCGAACAAGTCTCCTTTCCCCCAATCAACTCAGAGGCAATAAGAGGTGGGTTTCAACAAGGCATAAATCTGCTAGCAGCACATCAAGGCTTCTGAATAGCAAGGGCACAGACAATTGTCCAGCGGAAAAGAAAAAAAGGTCAGAGCAGTAACTCTTGCAGTATTTGTTCCACAAACAGAGAAGGTTTACACAGCCTTTCTGGGCAATTATTGGGTAGGAAATAAATCTCAACAGAAACTCATCTCCTTCTCCCGCTTTGCAGCTGAATCTCTTTGCCTCCCGCCCCTAGCAATGTCCCCAAAATGCTTTGCAACAAGATGTCAGTTACACAACCCAAGGCTGTGCCCAAAGAGCCAGCGGAGAACTGTATTAAATTTAATAGCATTGCTCCAGGTAATCTACGACCAGTTATAATCAATTGTCCATGCCCACTGCAGCATGACTATAGCTGTCTTCAGTGCTGCAGGTGCAGGACTGGCAGAAAATGCTTTGCGTGAGCTGGAGGCGAGAGATAGCCTGAGAACAGCCTTGAATTCCTGGGGAGACACAGAGGAAGCCCAGCGCACTGCTGCTGCCCTCCCTCCAGGCCAGGGCTTAGCAGCTCTCAGCAGGTTGGAGAGCCCTGGCATGAGCACACCAAGACTGCTATCGAGGGAGAAAGGAGGAAGGCAGGTGGTCTCTCCCATTCAGTATTAGCTCAGGAAAGCAAGGAGAGGAGCATGGTGTTTTATGCAGAAGCCCCATGCCAGCTGTTAGCACCACACCAGATGACAGGCAGGATCCTGGCCTCTATTTCTGGTCCTCAAAACAGAGATGGCCCTCCCAGGATGAGGATGTAATTGGATTCATAAAACTATGAGGAGCTGTAATACGTGTGAACTGCTTGCCTGATCTCTTACTCAGAGCTCTCTCCAACACAGTGCTGCTGTCTACCCTGCTTTGCTGGGGACCTTGGAGAAGGCTGTGTTTTCTTACCAGCTGTTGTGAGGACAGCAGAGGGAAAAGGATCCCAGCTTACACATCCTTCATCTCACAGCACTCAGAGGCAGGGAGGCATCCTGAGCTCTGAGTCTTCCTCTCCTCCTTCTGAGTGCAAGTGTGTTGAGGGGCCATTGAGCTCCACATCCCTGGGAGCTGCAGCCCAACACCCAGCCCTACTTCTGCAGGACCCTGTAGAGGGCTTTGTGGTGTGAACACGACAGATTTTGCTCAATCTGATTACGTCTGTGGGGTAAGGGAGTGACAGCTGGCTTCTCTCCAGTTAGTTCCCACGCTGCCAGTTATGGACAAGGAAAGCACCTGCTGCTCCAACTTCCCAGAGAGGTAACAAATCCAGGTACAGCATCCAAGCATCCATCCAGTGTCCCTGCATCCCATCGCTCAGGCACTGAGCAGAGCTGTGCGCAGGGAAGACGCAGCACATGGCAGCTCTAAGTGTGAAGAAGTCATCCATCTTCAAGCATTTGATAACACTGACAATGCCAAGCACTCCACCATCAGCATCCAGCAAGGCACTCCCATCGCCTCCAAAAATCTGGGACCTCCCAGACCAACAGGCAGCTCTCAGCACCCTCAGGCCTGAGCCAACATCCTCACGTGGAAGGAAGGAAGGTGGGAAGCTGCCACCCAACCTGCTAAACCACAGTCCCCCGAGGTGACCAAATCCCAGCCATATTCACTGAGGAAGCAGTGAGAGGCAGCAGGGTGTTAAGCTTTCCACTTCAGCCCCGAATAAATCTCAGAGCTTCCCCAAAGCCAGCACAGAAGGGAATTACACAGCTTGCCTGAAAGCAGCTCCAGCCTCCTGAACAGAAACATTGCCATCTAGAGGCCCTCTGCATTGCCTATTGGATTGGCCTGGGAAAATCCTTGGTAGGGTAATACTCAGCCAGCTTTTCTCACTGGGAGAGCTTGATGAGGCCTAAAGGCAACAGTTTACCCTGCTCCAGTGAGCGGGAAGGCTTGCCTTGCTTTTAGAAATCTAACTGGAGAGAAGTGAGCTGGCAAAGCTTCCCCACGCCCATAGGAAGATACCTCCTCCTACAGTGGCTGTGATGTCCAGTGGGGAGGCACCAGCCAGGTCTGACCAAAGAGTCCACCAAAAAGAGGCGTGTATGAAAGCTCAGTTATGGCTCTGAGATGCTTTCCATACCCAAGAAAGTGCTAATGATACAGCAAAGCGCTCTGTAAGCACATGCTCAGATCCCAGCAGATCTCAAGTTGGGCAGAGCCCCTGTTCCAAAACAGAGATGCCCAGAGAGCAGACATTTACATTTGCTCGGGGACAGTCCAGAGACCTTAACAGTTCGCAGCTGAGCTCTGTCCCGGGTGATCTGTCCAGACCCCACTGCCCATAGAAAGAGCCCACAGACACACCAAGGCTCATCTGTGCATAGCGATAAAAATCTCAGAATCATTAAGGTTAGAAGACATCTGAGATCACCAAGTCCATCCCAACACCACTGTGCCCACTAACCATATCCCTCAGTGCCACATCTACCCTTGACCTTGCCCAGTAATTTAACTGGGAACAGCACAAACCTCAGCCCTGGCTATCCCCACAGCTCTCACAGCTGTGGATGGGAACCAGCAGAGGATGGGAACCAGCATCACCTCCAAAAGCAAAATGAAGGATAGCGCCTAACCTGCCAACGAAGTACAGTAAAGTAGATCAGCTTCCCAGCACACAGGAGCACAGCCCAGCTACAACAGGAAAGAATAGAGAAAAGCTCTACAGCTACCACCCTTTCCTATTTAACTCCTGTCACTCCTAGCATTTGTGATAGCTGCTCCAATGAGCACCCAAGAACTACTCTAAGTTGCTCCCTGAAGAGCATCAGCTGTAACTTGGATGTTAATTGCTCATTAGCATGAGTCACCTTTCACATCACCATCTGGGATACCCCTCCCCTCTAGCAAGGCAGGAGAGTTGCAGCTCCCTCATCCAGGGTAATGTGCTGGGGAAGCTCAGTGCTCTCCCAGGGAGGTGCTCTCAGCCTACAAGCTGTGTTTGGATTCTTGGGCTGTGGCACTCAGAGCAGTGGCTCTGGAGGGGCTCAGTGTTCTGGCTGAGGTGGCTCTGAGCCTTTTGCTGCCTTGTGATCACTTGGCTTTAGCAATTCTGCAGCCAAACACTGGTTTTGTGCCATGTGGGACTTTCAAGGACAGCCTTAAGAAGCTTGGCAATATCACTGAGCTGATAATCAATCACCACATTTACCAACTTCCCAGAAATAAAATAAGCAACCAAAATAAGACATTCCTCCCAGCCAGGCCTCCTGACTCCACTCCAAAGAGCCCCAGCTCCTGGCTGCTTCTGCAGGTTGCATATTAGAAAACATTTCTTCACTGAAAGAGCAGTAATGCAGTGGCACAGGCTGCCCGGGGATGTAGTGCAGTCACCATTCCTGGAGGTGCTCAAGAACCATGGAGATGTGGCACTGAGCAACATGGTCAGTGCTGGGGGTGGGTTGGAGTTGGACATGGTGATCTTAAATGCCTTTTCCAACCTTAATGATTCTATGATACGTTGCCATCTGCGGTGCAGCAGAGCCTGAAAGCAATGACAGTGGCTGGGGCCCCATACTGCTAAGCTGGAAGCAGCATCTCTTGCCACCTGAACATTCACAGTTAACTTTGCCCCATGGAGAGCACACTGCCTGTGGCCATCCAGCTGTAGGTGGTGGGGGCACGTCCTGGTGCACCCCACACCCTTTCAGTTGCAGAGCTCACACAGGCTCTGCAACTTCAGGCACATCCTCACATCCTGACCGGTGTTTGTAGGGAAGCTTTTGTCAGCAAAGATTAATTTCTGTCATTTGCAGTTTTCTACCTGAGCTACTTTGGAGCTTGAGCTGTCTGGGGAGAAGAAGAAAAGATGATAAAATTCTCAGTGTGTTGATCAGAAGAAAAGTCTCACTGGGTGTCCCACCATCACATCGCATTTTTTTACACTGGTGAATTCCAGAAGGAAGGTAAGAAACTGGGGGGGGAAAAGAAGAAGAAGAAAAAAAAAGCCACATTCAAATGAGGGTTTTAAAAATAAACCGCTATTTGGTCTTAATTAGTGCTGGTCCAGACCAGGCAGCCATTAGTGTGCTCGCACATGGAGCCGCGGTTAGTGCTTGCTAATGGACGAGACACCCCAGGACGGAGCTCCCGGCGCCTTGGAAGCCTCCAGATGGCTTCTGCTGCCTCTCTTTGTGGTTGGCCCACCGTGATGGATGTCTGAGCCCCAGCCCTGCTCTCCACCACACATCATTCGATTTGCTGCAGACGCGAGGCCGGAGGTCTTGGCGGAGCTCAGCGTGCCAGGAGAGGTCACCGCGTCTTTGAATCACGTCCTCTCGGAGCGCCAAGAAGTGACATCAAGCTTTGCCTCCTGCCACCCCTCAGTGTGGTGGGGACGCTGGGCAGAGAAGGGCTCCGCAGGGTGTATCTCTGGCTGCCATTGCCTGATTTATACCCGCTGTGTCAGACAGACGTTTACATAGGCTGGCATGGCTTTGTGCCTCTTCCCCGTTGGCAGCTGCATGCCAGCGTCCCCATGGAGCAGGGATGGGGGATGGTTGGAGACAGAGGGGAGGATGCTCAGCCCCCACACCACCTCACAGGCCCCTCGGAGCTCATCACCTGCTTGTACATGAGATGTGGGCGTTTCTTAGAACCGCACTGGGGAATAGACCTTATTCAATGAATGGCACGATAGACATGGTCAGGATGCAGACAACGGGACATTTGCCCCCCCAACATCACATACCCAACCCACCCCCCCACCTACAGCACTTTCTTCTGCTCCTGACCCTGCTCTGCTGGGCACAGCTGGTTCATGGATGAGGCAAACAAGCAGTGGCAGGCGGCTTGCAGAGCTCGGAGCAGCCAAAACACATGAGACAGACCTGGCTGCAGGGCAAGCAGCACCAAACAGGAGGCTGTGCACATCAAGGACCCCAGCCATCCTGTGAGGTGCCCTCCCCCCTTCCCAGCATTCTCTTAATGCAACTTAAAACAGTTGCTAACTGGTCATAATAACGCAACCCAGAGCATCTAACCATAGGGCAGGCCCCGTGCTGTGTTTCTCCCCACACCCACCTCTCATAGCCCAGACAGCAGTGCACGTGAACAGCCACCTGCCAAAACCTTTGGGGGCTCTGGAGCCAGCAGTTAATATTTATGGCAGCCTCCCTGCTGACACCTCTATTCAGCAGTGCTGGGTACTGTGGGGCTTGCAGGGCAGCACTGTGAGGCTCTCCATCCGAAATCACATGTTGTCCCATCACAGCTTCTTCACTCCATCACTGCTGCCCTTTGGGACCCTGGGTCAGCTCTGGGATGGGGCTGGCACTGCTCTTACTGTGAGGACTGGTGCATACAGCAATGTAGAAGGGAGGGGAAGGGGGCACGGGGAGAGATGCTCACTTGTCCTTGGCAGAGCAGCGCGCAGAACCAGCGAACACAGCAGCTCTGAGGGCAGAGGAAAGCACTGGCAGCTACAAATTACTAATCAATGTCGGGTAACAACAACAGCAGCTAATAATGAAGGGCTGATCAGCTTACTATGGCAGTAATTATTCCTGACACCAGCTCTCTGAAGGAGCATCCAGGCTTAGCATGCTGTCTACCATGATGATAAACCAAGATAACTAGAGAAATTTCATGCTGGAGAAAAGGAGGGGGAGAGAGAGAAGAGGGAGAAAAACTCAGCAATTAGCTAGACTAGTGGTGCTAATTACACTGTGAACAGTGTGCGGGCTTTGTCAGAGCTAACTTTGAGCCTTCCCCACGATGCTACTGAGGTACGTGAGTGCCAGCATGCCTCTCACACAGCAACGGTGACAAGCAGTTTTGGCAGCTGGTTTGTTTCTGAGAGCAGCAGAGCTGGCTGCTGCCTGCACCCAGCTCCACACCAGCCCTTTGCCACCACTGGTGCTTGGGGACAAGCTTCTCACTGCTGTATCATTTCTCTGGCGCTCCTCTGTATGCACTCCAACAGGTCCTGTCTCTCCTATACTGAGGACTCTACATCTGGATGCAGTGTTCCAGGTGAGGTCTCACCAGTGCAGAGCAGAGGAGCAGGATCACCTACCTCACCCTGCTGGCCATGCTGCTTTGGATACAACCTGGTATTTGGTTGGCTTTCTTAGCTGTGAAGGCACTCTGTTGCCTCATGTGCAGCTGCCATCCACCAGTACCTCCAAGTCCCTTTCATCACAGCTGTGCTCCATCCTTACATCCCCCAGCTTGTACTGATAATGGGGGCTGCCACAACCCAGGTGCAAGACCTTGTGCTTGGATTTATTGAACCTCATGAGGTTCACCTGTGCCCACTGCTCAGCCTGTCAAGGTCCCTCTGGATGGCATCCGGCCCCTCTCATGTGTCAACTGCACCCCACAGCTTGGTGTCATCAGCAAACTTGCTGTGGGTGTTCTCAATCCCACTGTCAGTGTCACTGATGAAGATGTTAAAGAGCACCCACCAGTCCTGGCACTGACTCCCAAGGGACACTGCTCATCACCAATCTCCATCTGAACATTGAGCCATTGACCACCTCTCCCCAGATATGGTCTCATAGCCAGTTTCTCTTCCATAGAACAGTCCACCCATCAAATCCATACCTTTCCCATTTGGATGTTATGGGGGACTTTACCCCTGCCCCTCCATTCCCCATCCCATTCCTCCATCTAGCATTCCCCATTCGATCTCCCTTCATCTCCACCATTTCCATTCCCCACCACTTTCCCCATTCAGAAACAAGAGATTGAAAGCCTTCATTTAATGATGTGACTGATGGGTGTGTGTTCAAAACACACCACCTCCATCCAGCAAGCTGTGGATACCATGTAAAACAGAGACCCCATCATTCCCACCCTCCAGATGAAAACAAGTGCCCACCAACACCCACAGCTTGGCAAAGGAAGACCTCCTAGAGGGACAGTGGTGTGAACATACATGCGCTACCCCCACACGCCGCTAGAACAGGTGAGAAAACCATGTAGCAGCCCCACAAGCGTGCTATCACACCTGCCTCCTTCACCCTCTTCTCACCCAAGCAGCCGTAAATAAAGCGCACAGCTTTCTCACACCCTTCATTCAGGAAGCTGCCAAATTGCTCTCTCAGCCCTATGCTCAGGGCATCCCAAATGTCCTAGCACGTCCCCACATCCACCTCCTACCCCTCTGCCCCCCCAGCACTGCCACGGCGCCCCAAATCCTATTACAGGGCAGTGCCAGGGGGCTGCAGCTCCAGCCCTTGCACAAACAAAATCCTATTACAACAGAGATCCTGATTCCAGCCTTTATTTACAGAAATTATTATTACAAGGGACCCTGAGGGAAATCATGGTTGTGGGCTTTATTCGCTGAATCCGTCATTGCGAGGGAAGAAGCCTCGTAAGACTTTGAGGCAGATAGCGAGATGTGAACTGCCTCTGAGTTACGTGTCAGGGAGCGGGGAGGGGAAGGAAAACACCAACCACAGCCTGAGCTGCTGCAGGAGGAGGCGAAGGGAAAGGCATGCATATTTCTTTTGTCCAGCCCAAGGCAATTTCCATCAGCAAGGTGCACTAAATCCTTTGTACCGCTTGATTAAATTACAGCTGACCTAAGCAGAGGCTCATTCTGCAAAAAGGAGCAGCCAAGCTTCAGCGCAGTCCGCAGGACAAAGGGCTGAACCCCGGCCGGGCAGCGGAGCAGCTCGGGGGGATGCTGGGAAGGGAAGGGTGCGGGGAGAAGCTGCGGAGCAGAGGCAGAGTTTTTGCTGTGGGCGTTGGGTGGATGGCAGAGCGCAAACGGCCGACAGCAGGGGGAATCGATCCCAGTTCTGATCTGGTGAGAGGTGTCGGCACCAGCACTGAATGCCAATGCCGGGCTGGAGCATCTGCCTTTGGGGGGAGAATACAGATGAGCAGGGGAGCAGAGTGCCGAGATGCCATATTTGAATGTGCAGAAATTCGTCGAGGTGTGAAATCCTAGGCACCATCCTGCTTGCAGCCCAGTGCTCAGAGCCCTCACGCACTGCTTTCACAGAATCATAGAATCACAGCATGGTTGGGCTGGAAAGGACACCAAAGCCCCCCCCAGTTCCCCTGCCATGGGCTGGCTGCCAACCAGCTCAGGCTGCCCGGGGCCCACCTGTGGCCTGGGGCACCTCCAGCTCTCTGTGCAACCTGGAACTTGGCTGGTACAGATCTAGGGTGGTTTAACCCAATGCAGGCTATGGATGCTCTGGAAGGTCCCACCAGCACAGCCTGGGGTTTGAAACCAGCAGGTCACCAGAATGTCTCTCCAGGAGATGCCTGGAGAAATGCATGGGGGTAACTTCAGCTGCTCAACTTCTGAAACTGGGGCCGCAGCCAAAACACTGCCTCCACCAGGAAGGCCATCAGCTTCTTCGCTTGGGCACAGTGCAGGGAAACAGGATGCTAGCCGCTGAGAGCTGTTTACCATCATGTCGAGGTGAATCTGGCCATGCAACCTCTTACCTGCATGCTCAGAACAGCTCTGTTCCAGCTTTCCATCTCCAGCCACACACAGTGGCGCAGACACACCAAAACAAATCACATGCAGGACGAAAAGCACCACCCCTGGGAAATCTGCATGCAAGGAAGGCTGAGAGCCTCCCCCCAAAACTTATACAGCACAAGGTTATTCAAATCCCTCTCCTGCCGAGACAGTCTCTTTCAATTTGCTCAGTGGAAGCATTTCACGCCTCACCTGCAGACTGCTTCCTGAAAGAGCAGGAACCATGGAAAAGTTTGAGCACAGCAGAAAGCCAGACCTGGAGCACGCCTCTTGTTTGCTGCTTCTCCCCCACTGAGCTGTGCAAGGAGCTTGCCATTAGCATACGAGCAGCAGAGAGCGGCCCCAAACTAAAGGAACAATGAGGGCTCTTTCTGCAAAGCAGTCGTGCTTTTTCTTCTTTTTACGGCACAATTGGAGGCTAAACTCACACTGAAATAACACTGCTGGGGATGAGTCAGTCTTTGCTTGTTGTCAGCTGGAATGAGGCTGAAATTGCGTCGCTTATCAGCTCTGAGCCAGCAGGGATGTGGCTGCGGGACCTGTGAGCCATGCTGGGGTTTGCTGAGCCCAAAACGGGGACATTCCCACTGCCCCAGTCATTGGCTTCATTCCTCCAGCATTGCTTCAGAACTTAAAACCAAGTTAAGCCACTGCTTGCAGAGACAGCGACTGCCTCTTGTAGCTGCCTATGGAGGAGAAAACTTGTTGGGGGTTCAAAGGCAATTTTAGCACCAAATTGTGACAAGTTCTTAATGTTTTCAAGCTGAGTCCTGCAGGTCAATGGATGTAGACTCACTGATCATAATCCTCTGAATAATCACGCCCAGCTCTTGGCTGGCTGCCTGCCTGACTCCAACCCTGCTTTAAAGTCAAGACCACATCTTACAGCTGCATTTTTTAGGTGGAAAATACTCCCTTACCCCAAAGCGGCAGAGCAGTGAGAGCAGGAGCAGGCACAAGAGCAGAGGGGGTGAATGTTCAAGGAGAGTCCTTTGGGTGAGAGATCATAGAATCATGGAATCGTTAAGGTTGGAGAAGACCTCTCAGATCACCGAGTCCAACTCCAACCCATCCCTACCATGCTCACATTCCTCAGTGCCACATCTCCATCGTTCCTCAGTACCTCCAGGGACAGTCACCCCACTACTTCCCTGGGCAGCCTGTGCCACTGCATTGCCACTTTTTTGGAGAACAAATGTTTCCTAATACTCAGCCTGAGCCTCCCCTGGCACAACTTGAGGCCATCACTTCTCGCCCCTCTCATCTCCCCGCAGCCCTTTGCCTGCAGGAGAGGTGCACGTGCCCCCGTGCCACATTCAGCCCCAACAGGCCATGACTCGACAGCACTTTCCTTCTGTAATTTGGAACGCATCAAGCTGTGTAATGCCAGCTCAGGCTCAGTGACTCACATCGGAGTGGGTATGTGAGAGATCACCTCTTCCCCAAATACATATAATTTCGGCTGACAGCTGTAATGGGCAGTGGAGGCCTGCTCTGTGTGCGAGATGTGGCCAGAGATCACTGCAGCCCCAGTGAGGAGCAGCTCTCTGCCTGGAATGCAAAGGGAACGGTTGGCATAGTGGTCTGTGCTTCAGGGAGCGTGAACCAGGCACAGTGAATCTGATAGAGGAGCTGCAGGTTTGTTTGATGATTTAATCGATACGATAATTATATTAATTCAGTGGTTTGATACAAAGCCACTTCCTTTCTATTTGATTTATTTGGGAGAACTTCATTTCAGAATTTTCATAGCTCTGATGGTCAAATACATTAGATAGAAAATGTGTTGATCCAGGGCTGGGCCACAGGACCAACACACCAAGAGAGAACATAGCAGAGATGCACCTACATCCTTTGGTTCCACCTGGTGATAGAAAGGAGCTGGCGTCAGGCATAGAGCTGTTTCCATTTACAGGGGAAGAAATATTGAAGTGCCTTCCTCCGGGAGGTACATTTTTGAGCTGAGTTGCTTTAACCTTGTTTCCTAAGGAAACCGCAGCCAGAGAAGCCAATTAGCAGCACCACCGCCCTTGCCCAAAGGCGCGATCACATGATGAGCACCATCCTCATTAGCGACAGCTCAGAGTGAGCCACTGCAAGAGGCTGATGTGGTGGTGGGAGCTGGGTTGTGCTGGACTGCAGGGTTCCCTGCCCAGGCAGTGCCAGAGGAGATGTGCTGTGGCAGCCCCATGCCATCCTCCTACCAGTAATCCCACAATGTCCCTGCGGGTCCCTCTGCAAGTAGCACCATCCCTCCTGCAAGGAAGAAAAGATTCCAGGTTAAAAAGATCTGGACAGCAGCTCCCGCTCCCACCCCGATCAATGAAGCTTGCTAATTAAAAGCAGTTGACCTGAGCAAAGAGAGGCTCAGAGGAGATTAGCCTGAGGGAGACGAGATTTAAGAATTAAATTACTTGACTGCTCTGTACCATATTATCCCATAACCCTGGCTCTCCCTCCTCCCACCTGCAGGTAACACACACACGTCTGACTTCCAGGTGACAGCCCAAACACAGCCAAGTGGCACCTCCTTTCTCCAGCATCAACGTAGAATCACAGAATCATTAACACTGGAAAAGACCACTGAGATCTCCAAGTCCAACTACCAAACCATTCCCACCATGCCCATGAACCATTTCTCTCAGTGCCACATCTCCACGTTCTCTGCCATGCCAACCAGCATGCACGCAACCCCATCCAGCACTCAGCAGATGGGCCCTCACTGATTTGTTTCCCCAGGCCTGGCACTACAGCACCCGATTAGCAAAAAGCAAACAGAGGGCTGTGCTCTTTGGAGACCTCTCACATCTTGTTTGCTGAGCAGCTCTGCTCACGTCAGCAGGAGCTGCAGAGCCTCTGGAAACGCTGCTAATAGGAGGGATGTAACGCTGCCTTGCTTCAGGAGAGCTGCCTGCGAACGTGGGGGTTTTTCCATACGAGAAGAAATTGTGGTGGGGATGTGAAACAGTGTCTCCTTCAAGCATAGAGATTTGAAGGCCTCCATCATCAAATGAGTGCACAGGAATTTGCCCAGGACATGTGCTATGTGCACAGAATGGTCCCAGGAGAAAAGAGCAGTTGCCTCACAGAACACTTGGGAGTTGGTGGCTGTTCCCTATATAGTCTTGGCACTCATTTTCTCCTAAAAATCACTGTGTTGGAGTTGAGGGGGCTAAGAGCAAGAAAAGAAGCCATGGCAATCTGCTTTGTGTAACTTATCTATCCGCCGCCCTATTCTCGCCGGCAACCCCTTTTCTCCAACCTTCAGAGCCAACTCAGCCTTCCTTCTATGGTTAGACTCTGCTTCTCACTGCCATGCAGCCTCCACCGACCTGCTGACTGTTTTCCATCCGGCAGGACTTGGACATGCCTGAAACTGCACTGAACATGAGAAAAAAGAAGTTTGTATTCCAACCCCCGAACCATAGTCACGTCCTGTTCCTGCCTCTTGTCCCCTGAAATAAACTGTTTGCAACAAACAGTTGCTCAGGATGCACCAGCAAGAGGTGCTGCTCAGGAATTAGGACTCTAAGACACGACTACCAGGAATAAAAAAGAAGGAAAAAAAAGACACCTACTTGCAAATGTCAACCAAAGAAAAAATAATTCAGGATGAGGAATGTAGGCGCAGCCGAGCTGCATCTCAGCAGGTCAGTAATCCATATCCCTCTTCAGAGGAGAGTGGTGTAGCAGTGCAGTAGCAGGGGTGCATTGCAGAGGTGTCCAAGATGCTGAGAGGCCATACAGCTTGCAAGGCACAGCTGTCCTATGGGGACATCATGTCTTACCCACTTACGTGGCTTAAGCTGCACGAGTAAAGGTGCCTGAGATGTTATCATGTACTGCCGTCAGAGTGTGAGCCCTAATTCCCCTGCTGCCACCCCCCTGTTGCCCCACCACTTTCATTACCGGGAGGGAGCCAATTGCAAAACCAACTACATTTTCTTCTGAAGGGAAGAAATTTCATCAGAAATGCAGAAAAACATCCTCATCTGACTTGTGAAGAAAGAGATTGCTTTAGAGGAAGCTCTTCTCATCAATGACCCCTCCCTCCTGCCCAAAGGCAAGAGAAACACGGGAAGACGTGAAGAGAAGCAGCACTGGGTAGTCCATCAGAGCAGGTTGCTGAGCCATCCCTTCCAGCTACCTGGCTGAAATTCAAATGTGGGATTAGCGTCTCTGGCACACTCTTAATAGGAGGCAAAGGAGAAAAAATGTAATGCTTCCTTCCGGCCTTTCAGATCTATGAACCTCTCCCAGGTAGCAGACGGTCTGGTCCATCAAAAGGAGACTAGAATCAGAAATTAGACCCATTTGTCAGATAAAACTTGCAGGTGGGAAGCACCAGGCTGAATTCCTATCAGGCAGGGATGCTGCAGAACGCCGTAGCAGCTGGGAGCCCCAGTTGGGTGAAGGTCAGGGCTGCTTGGCATTCAGCACAGTCACAGGCATCTCAGAAAACCAAAAAGAGCAAAGGACGAATGCTTGCCCTTGGCAGGCTCACTCCCCTCCAGCTGTGCATGATGGGCTTTGAAGGCTGGGAGCTCAGGGGGCTGGCTTTGGAGAAGCAGGGGGGGGAAATGGAGATAGGGCAGAAGAAAAAGCCAATCTTTAAAAAACAGAAAGTGTTTTCGTTCATCTTCTCTTTGGTCACCAAGGCAGCGCCAGCTGTGCCTCGCGTTCTGGGACTGAAAGAAAACTCTAGCTGGAGCTCCTGAGAATTGGAGGCACTTTCGTGCCTCCTTTACTCTGAATTACAGCTTACATAAAAATGAGGGTGGCAGGCCCTGAAGGTGCCCTTTAGCCATAAAATGGGAAAAGCATTGCAAAAGACAGACCTTGATGAAACACGTCCCCAAACAGGGACGCTCTGAGCATCCTGTGGGATTGGGGACAGCCATGCTGAAGTCATCCCAACAGCTCCGGACACTATGGGCACTGCTTTCAGCCCAGAGCCATCCAACTTGAGTGCGCTAAGGGGCTGGTGCCACTCTCAGATTTGGATACATCCCATCTCAACCATCAGATCCCTGCAAGAGAGGGTCTCTTCCACCTCCCGCATTGGACACGTACATGGACCAGCAGCTGGGAGCCTCTGACCAACCCCAGCACCCAACAAGCTGCCATCTGCACTGCAGCCTTTCTACAGATTTGTTAAGTTTGTGCCCTGATTGCGTGCCTCAGGCAGATGACAGTTGCTTTGTGTGGGACTTGGAGGGGGGAAATTTTACGGCTTGGCTGCTGCCAACGCACAGATGTTACTGGCTGGGTCACGGCAAGGTGCTAAAGGCCTTCAGAACAGTTGCAAAGCATTAATTACGTTCCCACAGCTGTTCTTTAACCCTCACACCCTCCTTTCTTCCAGGGGCTGCCAGAATAACAACTGTGAACGGGAAATCAAAGCAGGAGGTTGTGAAGGCAAGCAAAGCGGAGACGATAAAGGTTATGAGAAACGGCGCTCCGAAAATAGGCCTTTTTTTAAAGCTGTTTGTCCCTGCCATTTTCTCAAACGCCTCCTCCTCCTCTCCCACTTGGTGCAGTGCTCCATTCCAACAGCACCCAAGGAGCAAGGAAATGTGCATGCAAACCCAAAGCATCCCAAGGGAGGTTTCCTGTGGGCTTGGACGTGCTTGGGTTCCCAAGGCCAAAGGGAACGAACGAACGGTCATGGGTTGCTCACCCCTGCACCCACGACAAACTCAGGCACCCCTGGGCATGGCATAAGTGGGATGCAGTGGTGACGCAGCAATTAGCCGCATCCCCAATACCAGGCACCAAAAGAGCTTCTCCATCCCCCTTCTCCCTCCTCCTTCTCCTTGCTCTCAGTCAAATGGAGCAGAACTCCTTTCAAGACTTGCAGATGTTGTGCTTCTGAATCATCTGGTCGCATGGCTTGTGCTGGTGAGAGGAAACATGATTGCTTCTGGAACCCTTTGTGCTGCAGCTCCCTGCACAATGAGCTCCCGCGCATTTTCAGGCTAAATAACTTTTTATGTTAGAAATGAAGTCAGGGGAAGGAAAAAAAAACACAGCCACAACAACGGCAAGCAAACAAGCAGTGACTGAAACGACGTGAGAGCGTGCAGAAAAAGCAACCGTCGTGCCTGCTCATCCTCTCTACTGCAGCATCTTCCAGCACCTTCCAGGTTTACAGAAACAGAAAAGCAGAAGATGACAAGCTCTGCCTGACATCTCCTGGGCTTCGTCAGCAGGAGATGGCAACCACTCAGCACTGTCTCAACCCTGATCTTCTGTTTAATGGGCTCAGACAGCTGCCCATCCCCTCGTCTGCTGCTGGCACCCATTTCAGCTCCACCACAATCTTTGGAGCTATGGTAACTGTACAAGTCTAATGTACAGACCACAGAAAGGGATCTGTGATGGTATTACACACCCTGGGGCCATGGAACACCACCCCAGCCCACCCCTCTTCTCTGTCTGTGCCCTTCACACCGCATAGACACAGCATCCCACCAGGACAGACCCACAGCCAGACAACACCAGGAAGAAGGCTTTCCTGGACCAGACTGCATTAGGCACCTCTGGAAACTCCCATAGTGCTTCAATATCATGGAAAGAGACAACACTTCCATCTGCCTAATAGAATTCTTCAGCCACACGCAGTCACGTAGCCAAAGCCAGTGACTTCAGAGCAATGCTCAGCCAAGACTTTTGTTTTCAGCAGAATAATTTAATACCTCACTCTACAGAGCACTTTCGCCTCCAGATATCCGAACGGTTCAGAAAGACAGGGTCGGCTCTTCCAGCAAAACAAAAACCACAAAACAAATCAGCAGCACAACTCGCATCACCTCTGATCCAGGAGCAGCAGCTCCTACTTGCCCGCACCCACTGTCCCAGCACGGGCGGCTCCTGCAGCAGCTCTCCTCTGATCTCCCTGCTTCTTCTCCCTAGCGCTTTTTTATTTATTTTTTTTTTTTTTAAATCATTTTCTGCCTCCCAGTTGAAGTTTCTTAAATTTCACAGAGGGGCTGACATGTTCTGATGAAGACGATCCCATCAGTGTTATTGTCTGGCTGCCAGCTCCTGGGAAACAGGCGAGGCACGAGGGTGGTTGCTGTTTTTAACCAGAGGCCACGTCTGACTCGAGCATTCGGGAAGCTAATGCACACCGTGCAGTGGGAGGGAGGGATTGGAAAAGCAAACACAAAGCTTTATTTTTATATTTCATTCTTTCTATAAGAAAAATAAGCCAGGGACATGAAGGGGAGTGAGGGGAGTCAGGGGGTTGTTTAAATGCAGGATGAGAGCCTTGGGGCTGGAGCAGCTTGCTGGGCATCCTGGATTGCCCTGGGTCTCCAGGGTTGAGATGGCACGGACTTGCTATTAGAAAGGAGACAGACAGCTTAGCAGGGCCTGTTGTGATAAGACAAGGGGAAATGGGTTCAAAGTAAAGGAAGGAGATTTAGACTGGATAGAAGGAAGAAGCTGTCTAACAATAAGGGCAGTGTGGCACAGGCTGCCCAGAGAGGTGGTGGTGCCCCATCCCTGCAGACAGCCAAGGTCAGGCTGGATGGGCTCTGAGCGCTGATGGAGCTGTGGATGCCCCTGCTCAGTGCAGGCAGCGGGACCAGATGGCCTTTAAGAGTCCCTTTCTACTCAATTCTATGGTTCTACTCCTCTGCACATCCAGGGAGGGTCTATGCAATGGGGTTCCTGCTCCCCAGGCTGCCCACAGCCCTTGGGGTGCACTGCCAGTCACATCTAGAAAAAATGGACAGGATGAGCACATCTGATGCTAATCCCCTTGAAGCAGCAGAGAAAAGGTTAAAAAAGGAGATTTATAGGCATATATCTTTGCCAGAACTACCAGGTGATCATGTGTACACATTTCTCTACTCTAAGACCTAATTTTCCACCATTTCCCTTGATTTGCTGTTCCTTTTCTCCCATTTCCTTGATTTAGGGCCCAATTATTTCTTGTCCTCTTGCCAGTGAAACAAAATATTTCATAAGCACTCCTGCCGCCTCTTCGCACTCTGTTCCTCCTCTGGATGCAGGTCTCAATGCCTGACTCATGCCTCATGTTCTGCAAAATTTAGAGTATTTTAGTGAACACCTAACGATAATTTTACCATTTTTCACAGTGATGCAAATGGGCTTTGGCACCGACCAGCTCAGCGCTGAAATCCAAGCAAGCCCGTGTCTGCCTGCAGCTCTGGCAGGGCTCTGCAAAGCAGTCCTTGGGGATCATCACCTGGGAACAGTTACCTCCAGGTGAAGCCATTTGCATCCCTTGCTGCAGGCAGGCTTGTTGATGTAACTGCTGGTACAGGGAGAAGACAGACAGGTAAACTTTACAGCTCCCCCAGCAGCACTCCTGAGCAGTATGCAAGTCCAAGCGGGACTGCCACCCCAACACGAGTAGGCCCAGGGTATGGTCCTTGTATACAGAGAACAAATTCTACCCTCATTAAAAAGAGTCATAGGGAATAAGGAAAGGACAATGCCTGTCCCCAGCAGGCCCTCAGTCTGCTCTTCCAGGTACAGTCAGATCTGCCAAGTGGTCCATCACTGGCCACACTAGAAGACAGACTGATAGATGCCTGTGCACTGGGCATCAGCCCTTGGGAACAGCTCCAGGCAAACACTCTCTTCTCCCCTTGGAGCAATGGTTTTACAACAGCTTTCCATCCTTCCTCCTCCCCCTGCCTAGGCCCGCACAATCACGGTATATAGCATTTCTATAGCATCCTCCTACCAGTCCCCATAATCATTTCCAAACCTGTCACAATACAGCACAACCATGAAAAAGACAGTTAAAATGCTATTTCAACACCAGCAACCTTTCTCAGGAAGATATATTTGTGAAGTTTTGTGAGCTTGGGGAACGACTGCACAGATCAGAGGTTCCCCAGCCTGTGAGTGAGGAGAAAAAGCTGTTTTCCCTGAATCTAGCATAGCAGGGACTCAAAGCTGAATCTGCTCTATCCTGAACTCATGCCTCATGCCCCAGCTTCAGTCTCTCTCACAGCCAGTGTGTCTTTCATGCAAGCATATCCAGTGAGGGCATCTCCAGGGAATGAGCTGCCCAAGGAGGTGGTGGGATCACCGTCCCTGGAGGTGTTACAGAACTGTGGAGATGTGGCACTGAGGGACGTGAGCATGGTTGTTAGGTTGGACTTGGGGATCTTAGTGGCCTTTCCAACCTCAGTGATTCTGTGATCCTATGAAAGATGCTAAGCAGTTGGAGAAGAGGATATAGGGATGGAATGGGAAGAGTTTCTCCATGGCAAATGCTCCTAGTTATTTCATGCTATGTCTGCTTCTCATCCAAACAGAAAATTGTCACAGCATGGGATTGTTTCCAGAAGAGGTGTTGGAAACTTGGCTCCATGTTTCACCGCCACTGATGGGGTCAAGAGAGACGGACACGCTGAGAGACACACAGCCCTGGCAGTAACCAGACCTTAAAACATAATGGGAAGCCCTGGAAAGACTAAAACCAAATTCTCACCCTCCACAGCAGAGTCTAGCCTTAGCACCCAGCAAGCTGCTGACAGCTCATTCACACCTTGCACACAGCCTGGAAGAGGAGTTAAGCTGGACAATGCTGTTTAGCCACACTACATTTCTTGCTGCTCAGTTATGAGATTGGGTAACCTCTCCAAATAGCTTTGCAAAATATTTGATCACTAAATGCCATGAGAGAGAGATTGCTTGCTCTGTTAACACAAGAAAGGACTGATGTCCCTTTCCAAAACATGGTATGATCAGCTCTGCCAACTGTGTTGGCCTGGCATCCACTAGATTAATGTCAGTTTTAATTTCTCATGTGACTGGCTGGCTGGAAGCATCCCTTGCAGGTGGTGCTGGCTCACCCTAAGCACCCTGCTCTCTGCAGGGCCAGTCTTGTGCAGCAGACCAGCTTTCCTTCAAGGTGCTGTCAGCCTGGCGCAGACTGCATGGTCCCGTAGAGCCAGCATGTGACAGCTCATGTTCCCAGCAAGTACCAGCACAGGGCTCAGCAGCCCTGAGAAGTACTGGAAATGGCAAAAGCTGGCCATCAGGGTAGTTTTATACCAGATGCAGGTATTTGGGGTTGTAAAGTGTATGGAAAGGTAAACATACTTCTTCCCCAGAGGAAAGGAGATAAGTGTGTAGTCAGGTGTTCACAGCCCAAGGCGATGCAAGTGCAATGTCCTCAGTGACAGACAACAGAAGTAGGGACAGCAGAGTGCACGGCTCACAGACAGCACACCTGGCCTGCCAACATGCCATCCTACCCAAACCACCTCTGGCAAGCCCACCGCAGATCCTTTACAGCCTCTCCCAGCAGGCTGTGGGCTGAGATGCTCATTAGAGCCCTGACCCTGAGCAAATGACGACTCGTGGGATAACAAGACTACTACAGGGAAGCTGTGCAGGGGCTCTGCGTGGTTATTCTGCTACTGAAAGAAACCTCCCCCGTCTGATTTGATCATTACTTGAGCCCAGGAAGGAACTGTGTTTGGTCCTTGGAGAGCTCACTAAGTTAGTATTTCGGCAGGAAACGGGTGCCTGTGCACCAGAATCTAAATATAGCTTTGAAAAATAAAACCAAGCTCCACTCCATCTGATCAAGAGAAAAGTCTTCAGAGGGTAAACCAAGACAGGAGTCCTTGTGCAGATTTATGATGCTTCTGAATAACAACTTGGAGAGGTCTGAACCAAATCCATCCCTTGAGTGGTAGTGCAACTACATAACCCCAAAGTCCAGCTATAACTTCCTTTGCTGCCTGCCAAAATTCATGAAGAGGATAGGAAAGGTCCCTTAATGAACTTCACCAGTGACTCAGATGACCAGACACAGCATACTGTGTGTAAGTTCGCAGAAGATACAAGGCGGGGAGGAACGGCCAGCAGAGCAGATGGTTGTGCTGCCCTTTGCAGGGACCTCAGCAGGCTGGAGAGATGGGCAGATGGGAATCTCATGAAGAGAAAGCCCTGAATGTGGGCAAGTGCAACTGCATGCACAGGGAAGAGGGAGCAAAGACAAGGGAGCCAGACCTATCTCAGCAGTCCAAATTAAACACAAGAAATTTTGTTTAAATATATAAGAACTCCTTGAACACTTGATGCCAGAGCAGCACCCATCCTTGGAGGTACTCAAAGTCTCTCTCCCTGAAGACAACCCAATGCTTTTGTGGTCCCAGGCAGCCAGCTCCATCTGACCCAACTGTGAGCAAGAAGGTCAGAAAAGATGAGCTCCCTCCAACCCCAGCTGCTCTGCAATTGGACACAGAATTCATTGTACTCTTTTTATGAGGCAGGTAATGCATTGAGAGCCACAGCACATCTTCTGCCCCCTGTCCCCCCCTCACTGATTTCTAGCAAAGAGCTGGATTCCAAGAGCTCTGGCACTTTTCCAAAAGAAGCTGTTAAAAAGTACTTACAGGCTTCAAACCTTGGGAAAGAAGACGTTAGTCAGATCAGTTTTTCCATTCATCTACGGGATGGGACGAGATCATAAGAGCAGGGACAACAGAAATCCTACAACACGCAGCTCTTCAAATGCTAAAACATCTCTGCAAGACTGAGGAAAAAAAAAATAAAGAAACAACATGAGAGAGAGAGATGAAACTTGGTTTACTGGACCCTCCTAATGGAGCTCTAGTGCCTAGGATCAAAGATTACTTGATTAAAATCCAATTTCAAAGCTTATTAACTTTTGAATGAGAAATGCTGCTATGCGAGCTAACTCGGGCAGGCTATTTCTGGCTTGGTAGAAGTGAATGGTAGAGAAAAACAGCTCTTTGCTTATCAGCATCTAGCTTAGTCCCAGACACAGCAGGAGAACTCAAGATGGCCTTTAAGGTCTCTTCCAACTCCAATGATTCTATGATCCCATTCCCTCATGAGCTGACCCCAGTACTCCCAGCAGAGCCCCCCCAGCCCTTTTGCATCCAACCCCAAATAGCTGCAGGACCACCCACTGGCACAGCAAAGCCATCTGTCCCTAGTTCAACTAGGTGTTTTTTTTTTCTGTAGGTATGAAAAAACGGGGTTTTACCACTTGTAGGGTTGAAAGAGGCAGGAGCAGTACTGACTTCTGGAGGATGAACACTGAGGGGTTCTGTTGGCTGTTGCTGGTCCAGAGCATCCTCCCTGCTCACTGATGGGATCCATTCCATAGGATTCCCGCTGACGAGGCCAGTCCTCAGACTTCTTTACTGTGAGATGGGACAGCAGTGGAACAGGTTGCCCAGAAAGGTGATGGAGTCTTCTTCTCTGGTGACATTCAAGCCCCAACTGGGCGCTTTCCTATGTGACCTACTGTAGGGAACTGCTTTAGCAGCAGGATTGGACTGGAAGATCTCCAGAGGTCCCTTCCAACCCCGTGATTCTGTGGTTCAGAACAAGAAACGTATTATTCCTACATGCAGCACTGTAATGGCTGAGCAAGGACTCAAGGTCTGCATCCCATAGCGCATGGTGCCTCTGGGGAAGGGAGCACCTTGGGCAGCACAACCCAAAATCTATCTCCAGCTCCAGCAAATAGACAGGTGAGAGCAGCCGCCCTCTTCATATAACAACAGAGAGAAAAGGGTAGAGTACAAGCCAAGAGGAAGAAGGCCACAGCCCCATACATTAACACCAAACGCTCGAGTCCTTAATTTGTTTCATCCTGTAGTCACCAGAATGTAAACACCACTCCCAGTCCTACTTCTGCATTTATTTTTACAGCTGCAGGTACTGTAATCACTGTGCTAGCGATGCTTTAGTTGCTATTACAAATACACAAACTCACATCCATGTGCAGGCACGCATACACACACGCTCACTCCCCTCCCTCTTGAGAAATGGGCCCGTTCCGCTTTCTTCTGCTACTGATAAAATATTGATTAGGGAATTTGAAAATTTGAAATGATTTAGGAGTCCCTGGATGGGAAACGTAATGTACTGTGCCGGTCGCATTATGAGCCATCCATCACCTGTCAGCAAGCAGCAAGAAAGTGACAGAATCAATACAAACGTGTCTGAAGATGGGTTTAACTCATTTCCCTTCCCCCTTGGGTAATGACTGGAGCATCCCAGCCCGAGGACAAGGGAGGTTTGGGAAGCAGCACGAGGCCAACCTCCATCCACCTGGAGTGCAAAGAAGTCTGTCCCTAAAGCCTGCCGCTGCTGGTAAACATTGCCAGCTCCTGTTTCTCTCAGCACACGAATGCTGTGCCCTGTGACATCCTCCCAGAGACTCACACAGCACCATTCTGCTGCAGGAGGGAGCAGGCTGGGCAGTGCCAAGGTGTGAAGCCCTGCCTTGCTTCCCTAACCCGTTGCTGCCCATTGCCTCCCTACAGACATCTCAGCATCACCATCCTTCCTGCACAGCTCACCTGCAGGCAGCACTCAGTTCATTACATCATGCAGCTTGTGTCTGCTGTTCTTTCTAGGTTCAAGAACCCCTTAAAATAAAGAAGGGAGTGGGAAAAAAAAAAAAAATATATATATATATATATATATAATCCATCTGTAGGGTGATATATTGTGCTCCTATACTTTGCAGATGGATTCAATTGGCCTGTGATCCTATTTTGCAGATTCTCTCAGAGCACCATAATTCATCCTGCAGGATATTTCAAATAAGACTGGACAAAGAATGGGAGGAATGACAGAAGCAGAGCATCCTGCCATGCGGGCATGGTGACCAGGCAGGCCATTGCTCATGCATTATTAGAGCTAATTATTCAGAGGGCACACCGCAGGAGGTGATAAAGGCACAAGGGCAGCTCAAACGAGCCCAATGGAGCAGCCTGATCTCAGAGAGCCTGCTCTCGAAAGCACTTCTCAGCTCCTGCCTGCTCACCGTGGGCAAAAACAAGTGCTGGCCATGTAGCATGCATGGGCAGCCTGATCTGGTGCCTGAATAAGTGGTTCGTAACCAGCCTGGAGCAGGGAATTGGAGCTGGATGGTCTTTGAGGTCCCTTCCAAGACAGCCATTCTGTGATGCTACAATTCTTTCTGTGAGGGTGAAACTTCAGTCTTCAGCCAGTGCCAAAGCACCAAAATTGCATTAGGTTTAGTCCTCCTAATGTGAGCAGTGGGAGCCAGAATAGTGCAACAGCCTGGCCCTATCATTGCTGCTGGTGCTAAAGCTTCTTACAGAAAAAGAAATCTCATTTATTTTGCCTTTAGTTCCATTATTTAATAGACTGCAAAACCCTTAACATGAGAGTGAGTTACTGCATCTGTGCAATTTACTCCAGATACGTCCCTTCTACCTTACCATCCCTAATAGACTCTATAAATGGCTTCCAAATCCAGCAGAAGTGGTCTATTTGCTGCCTAGTATACCATGTAATCTTTTGCAGAGGTAGTATTGATCTTGTTAAACCTGCAGCCATTGAGTCCTCAAATGCATCTCATCTTTTGCTTTCTACAGCAGAGCTCCTCTTCTGGCCGCATAGCAAGGCTCATGTGAGAGCAGCAGCCTACCTTGACCTGCAGACACGATGGTCACCGGGTTTCTGAAAACAATTTAATCGTCAGTAGAGCCATGGCTGCAAGGGATGCAGTCAGAAGCAATACCCAGTCTTGGGAAGAAATGTCTGAGTCATTTTAACTGTCAGGGATAGAAATTAAGGACTAATTCAGCCCATAACAGGTGCTGAATGCTGAGCCCAGGAGCAGTTTTGCTCGTGGCTAATGGACTTTCATAGTAAGGCTGGCTCATAGCTCACAGCTCTAAGATGCTCACAAGATTCACCTTGCTGTGGCCTTGCCAAACTTTCCTCATTGACAAAAGGAGAAAGTTGTGCTGTTATTTGCACAGTCTCTCCAAACTGCTCTAGGTGAGGCATCTTAGAATCATTGGACTATTGGAAAAGACCTCTCAGATCACCAAGCCCAACCCCAGCCCATCTCCACTCCATGGTTCTTCAACACCTCCAGGAATGGTGACCCCTCCACCTTCCTGGGCAGCATGTGCCAAAACTTGTAACCATCCATCCCAGCATTACTTGCTCCTCAGCAGAACAGAAGATGAAGGGACAGCCCAGGATCCAGTCTAGGATCTTCCCTTCTGGAAAACAAGATAGAGGAGCAGAGTCAAGTCTAGACAGAAAGTTAGCACTGATGCGCTCAGATCCATTACCAGCATCCAGAGGACAGATGGCAGCTCTGCAGTGCAATGTTGGGACCATGACTAGTGTCTTTCTCATAGACAGGGCTCTCATGCTGCCAGCTTCCATCAATAACCAAGGGAGGCGGTGATAAGCAACAGCTGCCTGGCCCAGAGGCGCTGGGGTGCCAAGTGGAAAGAAGAGAGATGTGGTTCTCACCCTCTGACATCCACACTGCCCCAGTTGTGTCAGTGCTGCTCCTCAGCCCATCTGTCATGGGGCTGCTTCCTTCTGGGGTGAGGGACCGGCAAAGGTTGCTGCATACACTGGACAATTTATCTTCTTGGGTTGTTGGGACAACAGGCCTGACAGTCCCATCCGTTATCCCACAAAGCTGAACTCAAACACACACTCAAAGAGAGGGGCAGGGAACAACTGCAGGGACCAGGGAAGCACTATAAGCTGTGTGGTTCCCAGCTCCTGTAGCCTTGGGGAAAGGCAAAGTAGCAACATCACCTGAGCACTGAAATCCCTGCAGGAATTATGGAGGTGTAAGCCCCAGAAACAGAACATTTTGCTCATCACCTGCCATCCTATCTTACCATATCTAGATGGTGCCCACATGTCCTGGATGCAGTGCTTCAGGACCCACAACCCAGAGAAGAACAAGCTTGTACGATGGCTGCTCCAAAAGTGATGCCTTCTATTTTATTTTTCCAGCTCACAATGTCAGAGGCAGATCATAGTGCAACAGCAGTAGAGGTTGAAACATTCCACCAATATCCCACTACATGTTGTTGTGCTCTTCTTATCTACTGTAGTTTCCATGGAAATAAATAGAAGGCATGATCTGGCTACTCACTGTGACCCACAGCTGCCCAGAGCAGGAACTCAGGATGGTGAAGCACTGGAACAGAGACACGGTAGTGCCCCATCCCTACAGACATCAAAGTCAGGGTGGATGGGCTCTGAGCTCTGATGGAGCTGAGTTTCCCTGTTCAGTGCAGGGAGTGGGACCAGATGGCTATTAATGGTCACTTCCAACTCAAACAATGCTGTAACTATGATTCCAGGTACCACCATTCCCAGGAGCCATCTCAGGACACAGCCAGGAGACAGACACCTGTCTGATACAGCCTGTCATAGGTGGGGAGGAGGGGAGACAGCTCTTCAGGCAAATCATTTCATCTGCCTCGAGAAAACAGGCTGTTAAAATGATGGAAAGAGATGGGTTGTTTGAGCAGTCTCAGAGCTGCTTTCAGAGAAGGCTTCCACGTAGGAACATTGATTGCAAATACTTATTAACTGCTCCTTCATTTTCAAAGAGACTTGATGCATATGTTTACATATTTTGATACGTTTTTATTAATCCTACTTACTGTTTAATTCCCTGCCCTGCCCAGAAGAACTGTCACCAAGCAACCCACACGCAGCTGCAACTTCTGCAAGGCAGGCGTGGGTGCAAGAAGAAACGTAAGCGTCTGCACCAAGGAACACTTCTTCAGCTTGAGCTGAAAGGGCTGTTTGGATCACAGCCTCCCAAAAAGAGGGTCTTCCTGCAGAGCATTGGGTCACCCACCTCTTGGGGCTGTGTTCAGGTCCCCTGACAAGAGTTACCTGCCACGACATAATCAAATTCCCTTTTAAAGGCTCATTATATTTCTGGTCTCCTCACATCCTAGGACAACAAGTTGCAACAGCTGAGTTACTTCTCCCAAACACACACAGCTCTGTGATGCAGTTCAATTCAAACCCACATTGCTCCAAACCCGCATGGAGACTGAAGTTTTCAGCAGGCAGCCCCAGCTCCTTGCACTGCAGGAAACAACAAACCATTGCTTCCTAATCACCTCCTCAGCACTGCTTAGAACTGTGTAGGTCTCTCACCACTCCATCTTTTCCAGACTGCTGCATCCTAATCTGGTTCATCCTCATGAGGAAGCTGCAAGGCACCGCAGCAGGATGCAAGCTCTCCTCTTGGAGCCTCTCCTCCCACGACATACCTGAAGGTCTGTTTGTTTTAAGCAGGGCTTTAGGGCAGGGAAGTAAGAAGTAGAGACATGATGCTAAGGATGGAGGAGGATCCCAATCTCTCTTGCATGACTGTTAGGTGCAGTCCCAACCCAACACCCACAGTGCTCACCTTGCCCTACAGCAGATCATCCCAGTGACCAGCAGAGCTCACCCACCCACGCAAAGCTCTCAGTCAGAAGGGCTCTACCACAGAGAAAATAGCAGCAGGCCTTTCTGCATGCACAGAGCTCATCCCTCCCTCATTGCAACCATGCAATCCCAGGGGCCTTAATTAACGGGCATGCCTTCTCACTGGGAGCCACGTTGCCGGAACATTTACATGTTAAACTCCTTTGGACAAGTTCACAGGCGGGCAGCTAATCCTCTCCCTGGTCTCAATGTCACATCAATCTCCTGTTGGAAGCCGAGCTCTCACCATCAGGGGTTTTAAACTAATGAGATGCACTGAGGCCTTCCACTCTGGGAATAGCAGATGCAGTGGGATTCAATTTCACTTGATTTTCATGTGTTTTTCTCTTTGTAATTAACACCAGCCAGCACACAACTTCTCTTCATCTCACCACCAGATACGATCTCTGCTCATGACAGACACATCAAGAAAGGTGATGCTTTTACCCTATGCTGTCAGAGGCTTGTAACTTTTTTTTTGTTTTGCTTTTTTCAGCTCTCCAACAGTAATTCACAGCCTCGGGATGATGTATTCAGTATTTAGGATCTCAAAGAACAGCATAGGTCCCTCAGCATCACGGGTACAAGAGGCACAGCTATAGTTGGTGTGTTGTGCCTGTCCCCACACTGCTGCTCCCAGCCCAGGGCTCCAGGAGAGCCAAAATTGGACTCTGTGATCCTTGTGAGTCCCTTCCAAATTGGAATATTCCATGATTTCCAAGGTGCTTTTCCATAAACAACGTGTATCACCTGATCAACCAGCAGCATCACAAACATCCCCATGCTCCAAAGTCCTGAACGGTGCTTTGGAGCAGAGGTCACGAACACTTGATTACAGCTCCATCACAGAGTTCCCTGCAGAGCAAAGCAGCTCCAAACGAGCCCTCGGTGGCCCACAGTGACAGCCAGCACCACGGGATACCTGAGCTTTGTTAATATTCATGTCCTAGGGACACTCGAGCAAGCAATGAAAGCTTGCTTCATACAGCAGATCAGTAAGTGACCCCAGACAACCAGCTGCATGGCGGGTGGCACCGGGAGCTGAAGGAACAGAGACAAGGTCATCACCCAGCACTTCATCTAATAAATAACAGCTCCAAAAAATCA